GGTCCTGCTGGTACCTGGCTCCACGGGGGTCCTGCTGGTACCTGGCTCCACGGGGGTCCTGCTGGTACCTGGCTCCACGGGGGTCCTGCTGGTACCTGGCTCCACGGGGGTCCTGGACTGGTCCCGGGTCACATCGAAGCTCACGCACTTCCTCCTCCGGACCCGGGGACACCGGAGTCGGATCTGTCTCTCCACCAGCTCCGTCTCCTCAGAGACAGGCAGGCGCCACGCGCACTCTCTTGAGCCGGAGCGCGCACTGCGCACGCGGAAAACCCCACAAAGCCGCGCGTGAAAGTCTTTAAAAGTAAGTTGTTCTGGCAGTCCCAAGCATGCGTCCCTCAAGTCTTCATCGGAGCGCTCCATGTCCCCGTGTCCTCCTGGCTCCGGCGCTTTCTGTCCCTCCGTCCCCGGAAGTCCCAGCGCAGCGCAGAGCGCGCGGAAGTCCTCCGCGCGCACCGTGTCGTCTTGGTTCGGGTAGGCCAGGTGGTGGAAGACTTCCTGCAGGTACTGGTCCATTCCGGTGGCTAGGACGATGATCTCGTTGTCCGCGCGCGGGTCGGGACGGTGGTGATGCGCCAGGACGCTCCGGAGCCACTGGGTCTGACGCGCGGTTCGCGGGTGCACGCGCGCCACAGCTGTGCGTTTCATGACGATCCACCCAATGTGTGTCCTCTGGGTGTCTGCGGAGACTGAGAGACCTCCACCCTGAGGACACAGTCTGCGCGCGCGCGGCTGTGCCACTGCACCAATCAGAGAGCTGCAGCGTGCGCGTGTCGGAACAAGACCAGAGACGCTCTGTGTGGCACCTGTCAGGATCATGGGCTCATGTGAGTGACTCTCAGCTACTACCACACAGAGCTCATCTGTAAAACGACTGGCTCTGGCGGCCATCTTGAACTGGTTTGACTCCAAAGTCGAATCAGTTGTAGATTCATTGAGTTCAGTTTCATTCAAATGCATTTAGTGTTTTATGAGATATTTTGCTAACAGACATATTGAACAAGGCTTCCAGCTGTCTGCAACTCCGCTCCAGTTCCAGATCAGACGCTCGGATCTTTAGAGGAATTGAGCTGTGACTTTTGTAAAGATAAACTTAGGAACACATACTAAAACTTACCAAACAGTAGCTAAAGGTAGCCGAATGATAGCTAAAAGCAAATATGGAAACAAGTTTTAAAAAGAGCTGAAGAACTCTGTGTATCATTTTTATTTTTAATCAACATTTAACGGGAGGGACAGGGGGAGTGGTGGTGCAGAGGTTAGAAAAGGTGGTCCTGTGATTGGAAGGTCGCCTGTTCAAGTCCCGGGACTGACAGCATCAAAATGTGGGTGGGAAAGACACCCTCCACCCCCATTTCTCCACTTTAGGCCCTTGAGCAAGCCCCCCCCCCCCCCCCCCTTTGCTCCCTTGGGGCAGCCCAGATGCAGCTCTCTGCTCTGTGGTTGTCAGGACGAACATCTGGTGTAAAACAATCACGTCTTCGTGCGAGTTACTTCGCTGAGGTGACCCCTGAAGAAGAGAGCAGCCGAAATAAAAAATTATAATTTAAGGGAAAATAGCAGAAAGTAGGAAAAAGAAATAAAAACAACCCAACGCAAGAAACAATACGCTGACTCAGCATTCACACAATAATCATCTTACCTGTTGTAGAACAGCCTCTGTTTGGACAAATAGATGTTTGTTTGTTTGTTTGTTTGTTTGTTTTCTGACAACAATTATTTTTCATGTTGTCATTAAAGAAGCTCCAATCTGTAATTCAGATTATACAGTTCTGCAGGACATGTTGGGATAACGGTGATAACCGTCCAGTAGAACGTGCCAGAAGCAGCTGCTCAGCACTTTGTCTTACAGTCCCTGTTAGAAGGAGCGTGACTTAACTCCATCACTGTCCATATCTGTCCACACACACCTGCTGTGGTCAACACACACGCCACTAATGTTCATAGAAAATGTTGGAAGTCTGGAAAGAATAATTTAAATGTATAAAAAGATGATTCGACGAAACACGAGATGTCTTTGGTTCTAAATCTTTACAAAGTCAAACTCAAAACCACCTTTTCCCAGCAGGCGGGTTGTTTGGGCTCCTTCAGTAACGTAGAGGTGAGTCACCTGAACGCACCGGAGCCGCACAAACAAGCTTCAGATCTGGTTTGGTCTTTGTTGTGGGGGAGGCCTCTGACATGATTAACCCGTAGAGCATCTATGACTCGTCTCTTACCTTTGATGCAGTGGGTTTGAGTCAGCTTCACTTACAAGGCAACAAATGTCCTTTTTCCTAAGACACCAACATTTCCTCTGAAGTACCAAACTGCCATGAATACAGAGCCCGTCAGATGTAACTGGGCCCGATCCACAGACATGTGGAGGCAGCTAGAGCGCTTCAAATCGTACAAACGTGACATTTCTTTTCACTTTGTGTGTGAACAAAGTGACAGCAACGCTCAGAGACAACACACAGTAGTCCCTGGTTCATCGTGGGGATCCGTACCCTGAAGCCCCGCGATGAGTGAAAAACTACAAGTAGAGATACCGTAGTCCAAGTTCAAGTTCAAGCGCAGTAAACTTTATATTAAGCGACCAGAACCTGACTGAAGCCTGCAGCCATCTGTTCCCTGCAGCTCCCAGGATCCGGGTCAAACTGAGTCCAGATCAGTGAAGATACAACCTGAAGGACGCGTTCAGCTTCAGAAGTGTTTGATACTTTCCTCCTGCCAGTCCTGACAGCTGGTTATCATGACTTCTGACTTTGGTTGCAAAACTTTCCCTCCGTTTGCAGCAAGCAGCGGTTGGAAGCAGCGTTGACTTCTGGGAAGTGAACTGATGGTTTCTGGGGAACGTAGTTCTTTAGACTGGCAAAACAGTGAAGGTTTAATGAAAGAAAACTAAATGGTGGCGCTTTGGGGAGCGGTGGCGCAGAGGTTAGAGAGGTGGGCCTGTGATCCGAAGATCGCCGGTTCAAGCCCCGGCCCCGACAACATCAAAATTGTGGGTGGGGTAGGTGAAACACTCACACTTGCCCCCACCATCATTCGCCCCTCTCTGGGCCCATGAGCAAGGCCCTTAACCCCCACCATGTGCTCCCTAAAACAGGTCTCTCTTGAAAATGAGTTCTCATGGCTCAATGAGACTAACCTGGGTAAATAAAGGTAAATGAAAAATTTAATTAATTATTTTTTTTAATATTATGTACAGTACAGTACTTAAACGAACCGCGAAGTAGCAAGGGACTACTGTCCTCGTTTGTCCAACACATTACTGGTCTGAAAACTACAGTCACATTACAGGCTGAGCATTCTGCACATCTGTGTCGGCTCATCGGGGTCATCTGTGGAGACCCAGTAGAACTGGCTTGGCTCCAAAAGTCAGTTTGTTGTAGATGTACATTCAGTAATTACTCTGTGAAACCTTTGATCAAATGTGTCCTGTGGTTTACGATATATTTTGCTAACAGTCAGACAGAGTTGATTCACTGGTACATGGTAACGTTCTAAATAGAAGCCCAACATTTTTCAGTCAGGTCATGTGGACAGTTTCTTTTTTTGTGCTGGAACGTTTCACCTTCAGGCTTCATCAGTCAAGGAAACACTTCCTCACTTCCGGACCAAAGGTGAAACGTTTCAGCACAAAAAAAGAAACTGTCCAGACGACCCGACTGAAACATGTTGGATTGTAGACCTGGATTATTGAGCATGGACTTTGTTGTTCTAAGTAGAAGATTCATGCATAGAATCTGTGTCGAGGATGACTAAGCTACTATCACACACCACACAGCCCACTGTCTGTAAAACTGATAAGGTACAGCTTTTTATTGGTTAAAGGTGATTAATTGTGGTGGCCAGTTTAAATTGTGCTGACTCCAGAAGTTGATCAGCTGGAATGTCCATCCAGGGAGTACACTGACAGTTCATCTGCAGTTTATGCAGTGGGATATTTTCATAACAAGGCAGACAAATGAACTCATGGACTTGTAGCGGGGCTGAGCGAGACACCCAACAAAAATAATTCTAGGCCAAACAGGCCAGCAATGAGAGTTCAGGTGAACGGCCTAGTACCCACCCAAGTACAAAGTAAGTACAACTGCTAATAGAATGGGACAGCTGGAGACCGCTCACAACTGGACAGTGAATACAGTAAAAGACAAAATACCCGCAAGACCAGAACTACGGACTGACGGCTGAGGTCTATGGTCCAAGCTCAAGAATTTCTCTTTTCCTCAAGGAGCAATTTGTTTCAGTCATTAGACATAAAAAACAGCACACCTGCATCAATTAACAAACAGCACACCTGCAGCAATTAACAAACAGCACACCTGCATCAATTAAGTGTGTGTGAGACTTTGTGTGTGTGTTCATTTTAAAAACACTTCTTTGGTTCCTGGCTTCGTCAGTCCTCCAGCTGCTTCAGGTGAAAGGAGCTGAACAAAGTGGGGGTTGTGGTTCTGGAGCCCAATGAGTGAGAATGAGAGAGAGAGCCCTGCTGTTCACCTCTGAGAGCAGCAGGACGGGCTTTGTGTTGTGCTGCCATATGTTCACTGGGGTGTCAACACAAAGACCGGACCACACACTTCAACACATGCACACACACACACACACAGTTCAACACACACACACACAGTTTAACACACACACACACACACACACAGTTCAACACACACACACACACACACACACACACACACACACTAGTGTGTGTGTGTAATCAAGCAGCAGTGATAAAGATTCTGAAAGTGAGGCGCACACTTTGATCCGTTTGAAAGCTTTGATTTGAACATTTTCTGTCTTTGGGACACGACCTTGTGAGCAGAGTCCTTGAACTTGTGTTGAACCTTTCTCATTTTAGTTTTCATATTTCAGAAACACTTCATAAATATTAATTTAATTGTAAAATATTGTCCATATTTGCCTATATTTAATTCTGAAGTGAAGTCCAGAAGTTTAACTCAGAAACATAAGGACAACAGAAAAGGCATCACACACACACACACACACACACACACACACACACACACATACACACAAATAAACACACACACACAGTCACACACAGACACACAAATACACACACACACACAGACACACACAGACACACACACACACACACGCACACACAGACACACACAGTCACACACACACACACACACACACAGACACAGACAGACACAGACACACACACACACACACACACAGACACAAACACACAGAAGATTAGAGCTAACCATGAGTCCAGAACAGGTTTAATGAAAGTTGTTGGTTAAGCAAAGCCCGATCCTGAGGTTATTTGGATTATTCTGGTCTGTTTCCACCTCGGCCGCTCGCAGTTGGAGTAATATTCCCTTTGATGTAATCCATCATCTTCTGTGGGAACAAACATTTTATCCTTCCCTCCGTGGGTTATTCTGAGCTTTGCCAGGTAGAGGAGACCATATCGAACCCCAGCCTGGTTTCTCAGGAGCTACTTTGCCTCCATAAACGCTTCCCGTGCTCTCACGACCTGGGGGGTGTAGTCAGCCGAGACGAACACGGTCAAATCTCGCAGCAGAATCTCCACATGTTCCAGATAGAAATGAAGCTTAGCCACAGCATCCTGGGTCCCCCATCAGAGCTTCTCCTGCCTGGCGTCCAGTGCACAGTCGACCAGCGGCGGCTTA